ATGATTCTTGCAAGTGGAAACAATGAATCATGCTAAATAATTTTTTTTAATTAAAATTAGGCTGGAATACACATTCTGAGTGATTTTCCAGCAGAATGTTGGAACCATACGTACCATTATAAATCTCTTGTATTCTTTAAAGAAATAGCTTTTTGCCATCAGTTTCATTAGCATTGGAAAATGCTGCCCATTCTATGTCAAAAGCTTTTTAAAAAATTCCCTTGTCAGCCCACTCTTGTAACAATTTGATGTGGCATTTGGGTTTCTATTGACCAAAAGTACAAAGGTTCACAGATCAGTGAAACTATAAAAATACAGGGGGCAGAGATCTATTCCCTTCTGAAATGCACTCTTAACATTTTGTCTTACTCTGCTTAATTGATGCTGTGTAGCTATGTAGTCTGGAAGAAAAGTGTTCTTTTTTTTTTGCTGTGATGCTATCACTTTCATCTGTAAGGAAAAAATCTGTGTATTTCTTATAAGTAGAACAGGAATTATACAAGAAGTGATGGGAATAGAAAATATTAACCTAATGGTATAACATTCAAATCCTATTTGTACTTTGGTTCAGTTTTTTTTTATTTTTCATTATCTAGTTCTTAATGTTACTATTTGTTTATATTTATACATCTAAACTTTCAGACCTCATTTTTATTTTTTGTATTTAGAAAGAATGGCACTGAGGGTAGTGCAGTCCTACAAATATTAAATACAATTTTGTTCAGTGGCTTTTCCCAGGACATATTACATGGATAGAATAGAAATATTTGTAGTTCAAGATTGAGCTGTGGGGTCCTTGATACTCTTTGAGCTTGGTTGTTTTCTTGCAGAGATTTGTTGTTTTCTTGCAGACACACTGATGATGTTATCTAGTTTGGTAATGAAATGTATTCAAGAAAACAACCAAGGTCAGAGAGCACCAAGGACTCCATATTAGATAGTTTTAGATTGGTTGGAAATAAAGTTTAGAACTAAGCATTGAAAGTTAGCCTATCCCCAGCTGATCAGCTCTATTTATTTGAATAATTCATGTAGAGGGGTTTCATTTACTCGATATGTAAACAAGAATCCATCCTATGAACATTTTTTAAAAGATCCACTTTCAAAGGCCTTTCTTAACAATGAGATAATCTGCAAATCATCTGTTGCTTTCTCTAGTCAGACATATTAATAAGTGAAGGATCGCTTGAGATTTTTGGAACATCTGTGCTTGAAGTATTACTAGTGGACAGCATCTGGGGATAGATAATTATCCAAGGTGGGGTTTTCTTAGTTGTGATAGCCAGAATTTCAGGTACCATGGAAGCTAAAAAAAAGATGCAGTTAGAAGAGCAAATATTATCTTCATTCAATTGACAGTAATTGCTTGCTGAATTAAACATCTTTCACAGACAGAAAGAACCTTGTATCCTTAGATGGAAGATCCTGGATTCAAGTCATTGTCATTTGTGAAAACTGCAGGTGTATTATATTGAATAGTTAGATGAGGCTGTAAAACTTTAGTATTTAGAGATTAGCAAAGTTGTCTTTGGACATGCCATATAGACAACTATAAATGTTTCATTCACACCTATATAAAATCCTTTATTTTTAAAAAAAGCACAAAACAACAACAACAGGGAAAATATTGAATAAGATTTAAACCAGAATTATGCTGCAGGGACAAAAAAAGTCTTCATACTGTCTGAAAAAGAGTTTTCTGGAACATTTATCGGAGTTGGCAAATTACTAAGGGGTAGAAATCTCCTACCAAAGCATCATCATCATTTGTTGAATATATAAATTTGAAGTTGGTCCAGTGAATTAGAACTTTTTACAATTGCTCAGATGGTATAGGGTAGTACAGTGCTACATTATATATATATATGCATACACAGTGCAGTGCAGTGCAGTGTAGTACAGTTTTTATATTTTATTGATCTTTCTATGAACTGTCCAGGATTATTGTATAAAGGGTGGACAGTCATATTAGTCAAGGAAGGAAGAAAGAGAGGGAGGGAGGGAAAGCTCCATTCTGCAACAACTTATTGCTATAGCAGCAGGCGTGGCAATGAAAATGAACAACAGATTGCTTCTGATTGTGGTAATACCAGCTGTATTAGAGCTAGGAAGATCCATCCTCTTTCAAGCTTTTCATCAACAGATGTGCAACCTAACCATCTAGGACAGGGGTGTCAAACTGGCGGCCCGCGGACCAGATGCGTCACTTTCAGGCCACACCCACCCCAGCTCTGCGAATGGGGAAAACGTCATGAAACATCACATGACGCCATAGTGACGCAGTGGATTTGACACCATGATCTAGGACATATCTAATGCTGCATTCCCACGACGGTTGATTCCCAAATTAGTGCAATTCTAAACAAAGTAGAATTCTCAACCTTCAGACAGGAGTCCTTGACTATTATTAATATATGAAACTTCTTGTACTTTGGGCAATATTGTAAAGTCTTAAAGAAGGAGAAGATAAGATTGTGAACTTTAGCACCTTGGATTGTCATTGAATGGGTTAGAGCTATTGTGGTTGGGGTCTTTGAGGTGTAATAGTTGTAATGTTGGATTAGACCTGAATACATTCAGGTTCAATTTCTTATTTGGCTATGGGTGAGTGTATAAATCACGGTTCTTTTAAAATTACAGATTCAATAGTTTTTATCCAATATATTAGGGCAAATTTGATAGATTTGTAGAACATGCTAAGCCAAAACCAAACAAGCCACACTGTGTCACAGTGTGATGTGAACTGAGCATTCTTTGAGAAAATGGTAATGGTGCAAGTGAATTGTCGGTGCCTTTTCATAACTAAAATCAGAAGTTAATTCTAACAAAATGCATTTCGCTTTTGTATTCTGTGATATCTTTATTCATATTTGGTTAGGTGATTCATGTAGACTAATTTTAATTCAGCATAAGTGCTTGAAGGTGGCAGCCTATTTCTTCAGCTGCCAGAACTGCTGGCAGCAGGAAGTACAAGGCAATTAAGAGAATGTTTACTTTCAATAAGCACTGAGTGGTAAAGTATGTGGCAGAGAATGTCACTGAGATTATAGTTTTATGCTCTTTTTTCCTGGGAAATGCTTCTGTTGAATTTACCTGTAATGAGGCTTACCTCTGGGTACCTTGGTTAAAATGGGAAAAGTGGCATTGGATTCTCAGTGAAACTTTTCTCAATCTTTGTACAAACATTCTATCTCATCTATTTAGACTTAGTCTCCCAAAAGTACCATTGAGTGTAGACTGTAGCACCTATCATCATTATGGCTGTTGCAGAAACAGATACTACTTTCTTCCTTTTTTCCATGGGCTCCAAGAAAACTTTTTGAGATCAAATCTGAAGTCCTGCTCATCCCTAATGCCTTCTGTTTCTTGGCATTGATTTTGTGGATAACGGCCGGAGTGCTCTCGTAAAAAAGCTTAAATGTTCACCATATTTCTGTTCACTTCCTACTTCGGTATATTTTCCACTAGAGAATAACCAGGCCTTAGTGAGGAAGAATGTTAGACACGTTACAAAATATATCGATGGAAGCAATCTTAGTAACATGTGGCATATGAAATGTCCTTGCATGAAAAGGGGTGCACTCAAATATCTCTGTTATCAGAAGTAGTATTATTAATTAAACAATGTTCAGTTCTTCCTTGCATCTCATCAAATTTACTTAGGAGAATTCGGGGAGCATCTTTGAAGGGAAATCCAGTTGGGAAAGCAGGAATGTGTTCAATTTATATATAGGGAATAAAGATATTCCCTTAAAAGATGAGGCTTGTTTTCTGCCACACATACTATTATTATTCTTTTTTTCAGTTTATAAAAAAGAGACAACATGAAATATTTTCCAGGACTACAATATTTGCAAAGAGTTCAACATAACATCTTCTATTTAGACTAAAACTACCCGGGGTGGCTTGCTACAGGTTCACCCAGGTTCAGGAGAACCCATAGCTAATGTTATGGCCGGTTCAGAGAATCTCCAAATCCCACTCCTGGCTGGCCCTTTCCACCCCACCCGCCCCTGCCCCTCCCAGGACTCTCCACATGGCCCATTTTGGATGTGAGGTAAGTGCAGGGCCCACACAAAGGCTCAGGGAGGAGGGAAAATGGGCTTCCCAGAAGTTCCAGAAGGCTGGAAATGGGCCTGTTTCCGGTATCCAGGGCCTCTGGAGCCTGGGGGAGACAGTTTTCACACTCTCAGAGGCTCAAGGAAAGTCTTCAGAGCCTGGGGAACAGGGATGGATTCTAAATTTTTTTACTACTGGTTCTGTGAGCGTGGCTTATTTTGTGGGTGTGGCTTGGTGGGGGGGGTAATGTGACTGTGTGGGCGTGGCCAACTTTTTTTTTTTTACTTTTAAAACCATTTTTTCTACAACCTTAAGAGGTTGCAGGAAAAAAAATGCTTTTAGAAGCCTCTGGAGATCAGGCAACTCAGCTGGGATCACCAGAGGCTTTTAAAGGCATTTTTTTCCTACAACCTCTTCGGCCAAACAGGTTGCGGAAAAAATGCTTTTAAAAGTTAAAAAAAAAAACCTCTGATGAGGTGGGTGGGGTAAGTGAGCGGTGACTGGGCCGGGGACCGGTTTGGGGGCATGGCCAGCCAATGTTATTACCGGTTCTCCGAACTACTACAAATTTTTACTACCGGTTCTTGTGAACCGGTGAAAACCAGGAGCAACCCACCACTGCTGGGGAAGGTGAAAATGCCCCCCCCCTGCCCTGGTGCAAGAGGCCGACTAGGCCACGCCCACCATGGCCACGCCCACCCAGGAACCAGGCAGAGAATCCGTTACTGAAATTTTTGAAGCCCACCCTAAAACTACTCTATTCTCTGCTGGCACAGCTTCCTCTTTCAATTTTAGAAGAATCCATTGAAGACTCCATATTTGAAGGCATCAGATTCTGGAATGATCAATAGCCAAGATTTGTTTTTGTTTTTTGTTTTTTTAAAAAAGGAAACAACTTTATGGATTTCAAATGTGGTATTTTTCTTCCTTTCCTCTTGCAGTAACACTATCTGCAGCTACACCAGCCTATTTTCGTGGATTCACATTGATTGCTTTGAAAGAAGGCAAAGAAGGAGACAAAGAGGAAGACCATGCTGGTACTTTCCAGGTGAGGAACAGTCTTTTGAACTATTGATTTAGAAATATGAACTGGCTGGAAACAGGAGCCATACCTTTCTTTATACACATTTCCCATATCTTAAATTGTCACTGTAACAATGAAATAAATGCTATAGCTTTAATCAAATCAGATTAATATGAGAAAAGAACTGTAAGTAGGCTATAGAATTCAACAAGATGTTGTATTCTTACATTTGTAATACTATCTTTTGCCTGTTTGCTTTTAAATCCTTCCCACTGAAATTAGTGGGATTTTTGAGCCCAAGTAAGGTATACTTTATTGTTTATTTATTATTATTTTCTCACATTTCTATGCTGCCCAACTCCCAAGGGACTCTGGGAGGCTTACAACAGAGAATAAAACAATGCAACAATATCCCATACAAAAGTTAAAAAGAAGACATTAAAACATTAAAACGTTAAAATACATACACTCCAATTTGTGGCCGGGTGTCACAAGATCATTATAACGAGATCAACAGCCCCAGGCCTGCCGGAAGAGCCAGGTCTTCACCGCTTTCCGGAAAGCCAATAGGGTGGAAGTGGTCCGGTCTTCAGGAGGTAATTGGTTCCAGAGAGCTGGGGCAGCCACAGAGAAGGCCCTCCGCCATGGGCCCGCCAGCCGACATTGTTTAGCTGATGGGACCTGGAGGAGACTGACTCTGTGGGATCTTACCGGTTGCTGGGAGCTATGTGGTAGAAGGTGGTCTCGAAGATAGCCTGGCCCTGAGCCATGTAGGGCTTTAAAGGTAATAACCAACACTGTGAATTGCGCCCGGAGACCAATAGGGAGCCAGTGCAGCTCGCAGAGAATTGGTGTAATGTGGGTATATCTAGGTGCACCCACTATAACTCACGCGGCTGCATTCTGGACCAACTGTAGTCTCCAAACACTTTTCAAGGGTAGTCCCATGTAGAGCTACATTTTGCAGCCTTAACTATTTTGTCAAACAAAGAATTTGGAGGTTGTCCTTGGTACTCAGCAATTCCAAGTCCAGTTCAAATATTTGTTGACCATTATTTTTCTTGACACCATTATGTTTTTTCCTGTATGTTCCAATGTCTAGACTAGCAACTCTCATTTGATCTTGGTGAGATTAACAAAATCTCTGCAGGAGATATCCAGCTATCATCTTTTGGAGAGTAAGTCTGAATTATTTCAGGGTGGCTTGCTTCCCAGTAAATACATAAGACTTGTACTTAATGAACTCAGGTATGACTACTCTTACAAATCTTAGAGATTTCTCAAAAAACAATTGTAATACTGTTCTAGGATTCCTAATGATGCCAAGCCTAAGCAAAACCCCCAAAAAGATTTTGCATAGCAGCAAAAATGATTTCCTTCTGGACAGAGTAAGCAAGGATACTCTGCATGTCTCACTTCTAGTGAATTTAGGATGCAGGAAGTAGAAAATTGAATCATTACAGTACAGTGATACTGCTAATCAGCTGTTCTCACAAAGCTTTGATCAAATTAATATTTAGGATGTTAGTCGCTGACTAAAAACAATATGTACTTAACTGAAGTTGCAAATAAAGCATTAAAGAATGTAGTATTAATTCTTGACCTTAATATTACTAGTTAGAGGCAAGAACCTGATTCATGGATAATCTCTTAATATATAGTATGATCACTAATTAATCCTTAAAGACCAAAGTATATTTGGGTGAATTGAAGCCACATATTACCATCTCTTCCATTAAACAAGTCTTTGTTGACAGACATAAAACACATACAGTAGGATCAAAGTATTCATATTACTCCTTTGGGAAGTATCAGAAATACAGGAAGATTCTAATCATTTTAGCTAGATGGAAATTAGTAATTCTATTCAAAATACAAAGAAAAAGATCAAATGCAAAGTAAATTAACTTCTCAAATCAGTGTTAGCTCTGTGACTTTGGTGTTAATAGCCTTTTGGTCTGTCTAGTTTCATTAAGAATAGGGAGTAGAATTTGCTTTAGAAAGACTTTTTTTGGTAAAAATAAAAATAGGGGATGGGCCTATTTTCAACATCATTGTTGAAATTTAGAAAGGAATCCTCACAGAAAGGAAATATGGATACATTATTTTCTACTGTTCATTCCTTCTTCTCTTTCTACCTGATTTATATTCTTCCTTGTATTATTCTTAATGAATTAATTCTGAATTATGAATAATTGTTAATTAAGATTAGTTATAATTAATGGATTATTAATTAACTCATTATGCCTGTTAATTTAGCAGGAACTGTGGGTTAGGCTCCCAACTGGAGATAAAAATTTCCCCTGCAGATAAAAGATAGGATTCAAAGATTATTTTTCCTCCTCAAAAAGTTTCTTCTGAGTGTTTTAGAAAAGAGCTAGAAAGCAGAGATATATGGATTCATCAAGGAATTTCTCTACTACCTGTAGTACCACAAATCTCAGCCATTCATTTTCCTGTACTACATTGGATGAAACTTCACTGCTAATCACTTGCCTTTGCTTTATAGCATATTCCTTGAGAAACTTTCTATTTTATTCTGTTTAATCAGAATAAAGGGTGAGAGGTGAGGTGTGAGACCTTTTGGAATAGGAATAAGTTACAGCCGTATCTAGAAGAGAAAAAAAAAAACAGTAGTCTTGTCTGTATCTCACTGGGAGCATCAAATTTTCCTCAAATGAAATATTTTTATGAATCACTTTTTTCTGACCAACTTGTGAAGGAAAAACAGAGTATTGAGATTCTGGGATATTCATTTTGATCGGCTAAGAATGTGGGCCTGTCAAAATAGTGTAGCTGGTTAAATGAGAATCTGAAAATCTGTCTTAATAGACTGTAGTTACAGAACTAGAAATAGAAGTAAAAATGGCTGGACCACATTTTGACTGGATTTAGCCAATAGAAAGCAAAAAAAGATATCCTGGAATGATGTTGTCACTATGGAAGAAGCAAAAAATAAATAAATTCTTGACTTAATCTTGTTTGACCCATTAGCTGGAAAAATACAATTTTGATTTAATTAGAATATGACCAAATAATAATAAAGCTGATTGGCCAAAGGTTTCTCCAGAAATCTACTTATAATGCCCAAATACCCAGCAATTTTATAGATTCAGTTAATGTTCAGGTTTCTTCTTTACTTTTCTTGAAGTAACATTTAAAAAAAATATGATTAACAAAGCATATCTCTCGGTTCAAACAGAATGACCTTTTCATCTTTTGACTGTCCTTCAGATTTTTTAAAATCCAAGCTTCATACTTGAGTCCAATGGGGGATAGTCTGCAGTCTGTGTAAAATTACCTATCATTTTCATTTTGCTATAAATTGTACGTGACCTGTTTCCTCTCTTGTTATTTCTTGGTGGAGTGCAATACTGGAAATAACATTTCTGTTAGTGGAAGTTTTAATCTAGCCACATATATATAAAAGGGGTGTTGACTCCCCTTTTATCATTGAGGTTTCCTTAATGTCCCCTTCCTACAAACACCCAATATTTTCTGCTATATTTTAATATTGCCTGAGGCTGATAAAAAGCACTAATGGTTAACTCAATCACATGAAGACTATCAAGAATAAAATAAAATTCCTTTTTGTCTCTTTTCTTTTTTGCACAGTGAAGATGCAGTCAGTCCACCAGATAACGATTCTATAAAATATATCACTGTAACTGTTATTATGCCTGTGATGTTTTTGACAAATCTGGATCATTTCAGCATTTCACAAATTGTGGTAGCAAGGCAGAGCATGTAATGTTTGCTGAAATTTTCACCATATCTGTTTTGTGAAAAATAGATGTGTTGTTGATGATAGCAATATTATCCACAGTTAATAATGTGGAGTTGGGAAGATTGGAAAAAGATTATTATTCTTACAGATTTATCATTATAAACAATTCTGTGACATGTTCTTAAGCACTTTAGAAAATATATATCACTGACTATTTCTGGAGAGCCACTAGAGGAGCACATGGCAGAAATAATTTCATTGTCTCCTATTCATAATTTCTTTTTCCAGGTAGGACAAAATATAAATGCATTCTGAGCATATTAGACATGCAATTAATATATTTTATGTTCCAAACCTCAGATAATCTTATTCTCACCCCCTTCTTGCTTTTTGAAATGTAGTGTCCTATATTAGTAATATTAAGCAATCATGAATTTGGTTTCCCACATTTGACTACAATAGTTGCCATAGGCCACAATCACAGATATGGAGGTTTGGTGGTAGATGATAAATTGCTGATCTTAATGACATCAGAAGAAGACAAATTATTCTGCCTATCATTTAACATCAAAGGCAACCTCAGCTGTAATTTTTGTCAGAAGCCTGGCTTTGTGTTCATGATAGGTTTATATAAAGAAATGATAATAAGTCCCTTTTTTCCACTTTCCTTTTCTAAAGTTAGGAAAATATTGAAAAAACATTAATATTGGTAATTAGGGTGAAGAATGCCTTCTGAGCACTGTGCATTCAGACTTGGATTCAGTAGGAAAGCTACTCAAGAGATTTCTTTAGGATTATAGAATAAATAATACCAGCCCATTACTGAAAGTTACTTAATGTGATGCTAAAATTTCCTTTGCAGTGTTTAGATTTGCCAAACAAATGTGGCTGGGGAGAAAATGGCATTATACATGTGTCACATCAAGAAACACATCACAAAAAAGAAGAAAAAAGAGAAAAGCAATTTGCATTATTTTGTATGCTAATTGATAGGTGCATATCTGTCACTTTTAAACAATGTAGAATAAGTTTTATTCAGTCTATGGAGTATGTGACATAGAAATCCATGTACAAAGGGAAGTAAAGGAATAATAATGTATAAAATTAAAATCTACTCGTTTTTTTAAAAATATTTTTTTATTATGACTTTATTATTTTTATAAATAACTCAAGGTGGCAAACAAATCTACTACTCCTTTATCCTCCTATTTTCCCCTACAATAACATCCCTGTAAGATGAGTTGAGGTGAGTGAGAGCGAATGGCCCAAAGCCACCCAGCAGGTTTTCATGTCCAAG